GGCAGGGCTGTTAATGAAATAGTTCAGAAGGAAATGCATGTCATGCAACTCTAATATACGACCTGTAATAAATCTGTCAGAAGTTCCTGTACTTCTAATCTCTGGGACCAATGATCTCTTGTGGTCTACAGTGAATTCCAACTCAATCAAAAGTTCACAAGAGAATCAAGATTAGAACTTCCTGTGGAAGACAAATAAATATCCCAGACTAATCTTCTAGCACAAAATCATAAGGAACACATTTTTATTCATATAATTATATTTCAACTCCTCTTCCATTTTTTGTCTTAGAATGAAGCTATGGAGACATGGTCTTGGAACCTATAACTTCTGTGTGTCTTTATGAGACTTTTATTTTATATATCTATTTATTTACTTTTGAGATGGACTGCAATCAACTCTGCCCAGGCTATGGATGAATTCCTGAGCTCAAGTGATTCTGCTGTCTCAGCCCTTAAGTATCTGAGACTACAGGTCCACCCTGGCACTCAGCTCTTTATGGGGATTTATTTGAAAGTCAGGTTGGAAAAATAGCAAACAACTTTTTTGTCAAGGACAAATCTTAGACAAAAAAACAAACAAACAAAAAAAAAACAACAACAACAAAAATAAAACACCTTAGTTGACACAATGATTCTGTGACTCCTGAAGACTTCAATCATAGTACCAAACCAATCAAACAAATGCTGGGCATGAGACACAGATCTAAAGAATTCTTGAGAGGCTAAATTCTATCAGAAAATACCCTACAGTGTCATCTCTTAATGTTCGACTAAAGTCGAACTCAAGACCACATTACTAAATTCCAAGATAATAACACGCCAAGTTTTGTGTTATGGTATTGTTCAAAATTTAAAATTTGAAATAAATGCATTTTAAAATCCACATATTAAGTGCTGTTCAAGTTCAACACATGGAAGGACCACTAGACTGAGGAAGTCTGGGGAGGAAGGGAGGTAAAGAAAGAATGAGGGGCAGAGGCAGCCTTCATAACCACTTACCAGCCTGGGAGTCTCTTCAGAGAGACTTCTGGAGAGTTGCTCTCTCTGATTCCTAGATTCACATGATCTAGGCTGCTCCTTTTGACCATACCCACACCACTAGATAGTGAAACTTGTTTCAGTGGTTTCTGCCTATCTAACCAAGAATGACCAGGAATTCTCAATCCCCCTGCTTCAGCCTTCAAGTGCTGGGATGGTAGGTGTGTGCCACCACACCTGGCTACTAGTCAATGAACTTTTGACCAGTATGCTAAGGTGATGAGAAAGAGAAAGGATGATCTCTTCAAGTGGTGCTGGGAAAATTGGATATCCAGATGCAAATGAACAAGGATGGATGTTTATTTCCACAGACAAATACTAAAAGACCTAACAAGCTGTAAACTTGTAGGAGAAATCATTGGGAAAATTTTCAGGATGTTGAAGTTGCATGTGAAAATACACCCCAGTACTGAACCCAAAGCACAGGCCACAGCAGCAACAAAAATAGGTGAGTCCATCTTCACTGGATTACAAAACCATTTTCTCTCTTTGCATGAAAAGACACCATCAAGAAAGAAAAAAGACAGACCACAGGGATAGAGGAAAATATGTGAAAATGATCAATTTGATGAGGAGTTACTATTCATCTACAACTCCGTGACAGCAGAAAGCTAAAAACTCAATTCAAAAATGGCAAAGGACTTGAATACAATTTTAAATGGCCCACAGATTGCTCAATATCTAAGTCACAATGATGAGGCCATCAATATATGGCGTCTATGGGGTTTCCTCCTTTAGACACATTGTTCAAATGGAGAGGGGTCATCAGAGATGAGCAGAACAAGAAGTGACGACATGTTTCTGATTTCCCAAAGGGTCTGTCTGTGGTGAATACGGGAGTGAAGACCCACACCGCTCATCTTGTGCCTGAAGGTGGTTGACTTGGGATACCAATGGGATTTTAGATAGCAAATGGAGGATGCTTTAACATAGTATAAAAAATGTTGAACTTTGGAGTGTGTGCACTTTTCATACTAGGGATAAGATGTGTGTTACCAAATATGTCCTCCCCAAACCATGACTTATCAACTAGCATACACTGGGAAACAAAGAAGTTGTCATGTGTGAGCTGTCAGAAGCTTTCAAAAGAAAGAGGGATTATATGTAAAAAGGACTACAGACTTGAGTATGAGAGCAATAGAGAAAGGGGGTCTTGTTTGTAAAGAAGAAAGTTTTGGCATCTAGCTCAGGGACACATCTATAATACCGTGATTACAGAGGCTCAGGTGGGGGCCGGCGGTGTGGCGGCGCATGCCTTTAATCACAGTGCTTGGGAGGCAGAGGCAGGCAGATCTCTGTGGGTTCGGGGCCAGCTTTGTTTGCAAAGTAAGTTCCAAGACAGCCAGGGCTATGTAGAGAGACTCTGTTTTAACAACACAAAACAAGAGAGAGGTCCAGAGGGAATGTGTGCTCTAGCTTAGGAACTGGAGGCAGCCTGGAGTGGTACAGCTGGATAAAAGGGCCGTTCTATTTTTAGACTTTTGAAGGAACCTCCACACTGATTTCCATAGTGGCTCTACCCGTTTACCCTGAGTGACAACAGTGATAAGGGCTGCCCTGCCCCTGAAACCTTGCCAGCAAGTGCAGTCATTTGTTTCCTTGATAGCAGCCATTCTTACCGGGGTATGATGAAATCTCAAAGTATTTTTAATTTGCATTTCCCTGGCAGCTGAGGATGCTGAACACTTTTAAATGTATTTATTTGTTATTTGTGCTTCTTTCGAGAACTCTTCAATTTTAGAAACCACTTTATTTATTATTTATTTATTTTGCCCAAGATCCAGATCATTATTTAATTGGGGTGGTTGTGCAAAGGTAAACAAAATGGGGGAAAGGGGATAGAAAGGCAGAGGAAAGCTGGCTGATGAAAACAAATTCGTCTTTCATCTCCTCTGACTCCTAATGAGGGCAGATGGTGCATGGACCGTTCTTAGCGATGGTGGATTGTGCATGGACCATTCCTAGCAATGGTGGATTGTTCTAATGAAGGCGCATGGACCGTTCCTAGTGATGGTGGATCGTGCATGGACCATTCCTAGCGATGGCGGATTGTTCTAATGAAGGCGCATGGACTGTTCCTAGCGATGGTGGATCGTGCATGGACCATTCCTAGCAATGGTGGATTTTTCTAATGAAGGCGAAGGGTGCATGGGCCGTTCCTATCGTTGGTGGATTGTGCATGGACCGTTTCTAGTGCTGTTGTTTGTTATCTTGATGTTTAGTTTTCTAGGCAGAAGTTCTGTCAGAAGTATCGTTGGCAAAGATTGTCTCCTGTTTTGTAGGCTGCCTCTTCGCTCTGTTAACAGTTTCTTTTGCAGTACAGAAGCTCTTAAATGTCGTGAGATCTCACTTTGTCAAGTTTTGGCCTTGTTTCCTGGAGTCCTATTCAGAAAGTTCTTGTGTGTACCCATATTTCTGGGCACACTCACTGCTTTGTCTTGTAGCAGTTTCAGAGTTTCAGGGACACCACTGAGGTCTTTGGTCCTCTTGGAATTGGTTTTTATTCAGGATGAGAGATAAGGATCTGGTTTCATGTTTCTGTATGGTGATATCTAATTTTTCCAGAATCATTTACAGAGCAAAATGGTGGCAATGCAAGCAGATTTTGTGTGACAGCCAGCAGGGTGGGGATCCGCGCTGACACAGCCTGTCGTAATTGATCCAGGACTGGGTGCCCTTGCCAGGGGGGTTGACCTTTGGGGGAGGTTATGGGTGGTTCCTGGTGAACAGAAACATTTAGGCTTGTTTACCCAATAACACCCCTTCTGTTTACCCATCGAGTCCTTCTGGTTAGGACACTGTCACCAGCACTGCCATTTTGGGGGGGGGGCAGGAGGGGGAGCTTTTGGACCTGGCAGTTATCTTTTCTCCAATGTGTACTTTTGCCTTCTTTGTTTAAAAAAAAAAAAAAAAAAAAAAAAAAACCAGGTGGCTGTAGTGAGGTGGCCTTACAGCAGAGTCCTCTGTTCTATCCCGTAGCTCTGTGTGTCTATTTTGTTTTTATTACTGTTGAGTCACATTATTGTTGTCATTACATTTTCTACAAGGACTGGCCAGTAAGTACTGGGATTATTGGTGGGTAAGGTACATTTCTTGTTTTTATAATTATTTCCCTGTTTTCTACAGTGAATGTATATGACTGTTAATAATGTTCTGGGGAGGGAGGAAGAAGGGATGGAGAAAGGATGGCTACAGGTATAGTGATACAGTTAGGAGAAATCACTCCTAATGTTATGTAGCACCGCTGGGTGATTGTGGCTATTAACCAGAACGGCTACTAGTTTGAAAGTTGATTTGCCAATGACTACTCTGACCATTACACATTGTATACATATATTGAAATAGCACATTGTCTTCCACAAATATGTACAGATGAAAATATAATCCAGAATGAAACTCATGTTATGATCAGGGTTAGGGATAAAGGTTACTATTAAGGACAAAAAAA